CTCTGTACAATGATGTTGAAGTATTCTTGAAAACAGTTTTTTTCTACATTTTTTCTTTTTTTTCTTCCAGCACAAACTTTAATTAGCTTTTAGGCTGCCGCTCATTGACATCACTTAAAAAATATTTTATTTTGACGTGTGTGCTCCCGACAGACGTACAATATACTTTTGAACAGATGTCAGAACAAGTTTTTTTGATTATAATTTTTACAGTACGCACACATAATTTCAGTCGTGACATCATAAAAATTCTACTTTGCAGTTTGGGAAATCTTATTCTAGAGTTTATTTAACCATGCACTTGTCGTAACTGTTCACTGCTTCATCCAATCGGGAGCTTGAACGTCTCCATAGTGACGTCACTCTAGAGTCATAAGCTATCAATTGGTTGAAACTGCAACAGATGATTTACATCAACTGCACGACTAATTAATCGTACTATAGTACACTGGCAGGCCAACGGATTTAATTTGAGGCAATAAATTCCGTGAAGGAATTAAGAAATGTGGTTCAAAGACTGTTTTTGTGACACAATTTCTCTGTGTACAAGTGTGGTTGACGTCACCCCTCGGGGCATGGTATTCCAAATTTTGCGAAGAGTGGAAATGAAAAAAAGGTACCGTACCACACTGCGAGGGGATGGATGAGTAAAACACCAGAAAAATAACGTAGTAGATGAAGACTTCTACAATGACATTAGGGCGACACGAACGGTGGACAAGTTGGCACGTATCCTGGTCTCCTGTCAAGAAGTGAAGGTGACTGATATGTTGTCTGACACGCGTGGTTTCCAATGTACACGATTCTCGAGTAATGCCACCTTAACACGGAATTTATATACTGAAGCCAAATAACTACCCATCTTCGCAGATGGCGGATACACAACTGCGCATTGGAGTACTTATTTTAAAATTTTATTTGTATGATTAAAATTTTATTGGTGATTGAGATTGACAATTTATTTGTTTTATTGAAAATGTTTAGAAAGTGAAAGAAAACTTTTGTGTTTTATTTTGAGCAATTTTACGAAATGTTTACTCGATTCTTTTTTACTATTTCAATTACTTAGAAGATAAAAACAGCATATTTCGACAATTGAATCTAATTTTTACACATTTTCATGATTCGTCGTTATTTTACGTCATTCGTGAAAAATTGTTGTAGAAGGTACTTGATTGGAATAATGACGTTAAACTATCATTAGCAAAAACAAAAATCCTGAGTTAACCAAACCCTGCCAGCTTGTTTGGTTTGTTATATTTTTTAGATTTACACATAAAAAATACAGCAAATGATCAGTTCCAAGTTATTCCGAAACTTGGGCCCCATTCAAAAAAATACAATCGCCTTTAGGAGGCAGGGCTTCCCACAACTGTGACAAAAGCGAGAGGGAATGGGGTTATTGAAAAATGAACGTCTCGTAACATGTGTCACAATTATTACATCATTAACTTTAAACTGGAAATGAATGTCAAGAATGTATCATGTGATTAAATTTGAAATACTGTTTTAACATCTATAAGAAATCTATTTTTTTTCATTAATTTAGGAAGTAGGAGGCTGAGGAAGGATAGGAAACGGAATGTTCGTCTAGTAATGTGTAAGTTACTAAGGGATAGGAGGGAAGCCAATTTTTGTGAATGTATTTCTTTATTAGCTTTTTGTTCCGATGAAGGCTAGGACACCAAAGTGAAATAAAAATGTCACTGCAAATATGTATTAGTGTAAGATGTACAGAGGGGTACGGAAATGGGGGTAGTTATGGGGTATTACCCCTCCCCCTTCAAGAAACTGACGATACAAAGCTACTTTTTACTAATTGTTTATGCTATACAGAGCCATTTAATATCTCAATTGAATACGATATTAATCACAATGAATCAACAAATAAAAATATTACATCTCAAATGCAGTATAAATGAAAAATTCTTTAAAAGAAAAGATCAAGTCGGCTGGTAACTACATCTATTGTCCCCCTTCCCCCCCTTTGAAAAATACGGGACCACTGGAGATATCACATGGCCCACTTGCCGACTGAATGCGACAGACATCTTCACGAACATGGTTTCTGGCACTCCGGGCACGATGGAGATAGATACGCCATCTATTTTCGCGTTTTAACATCGACCCCAAATCGGAGAGACAATTGTGCGATGCGACTCCTCTGACAGCGCCCTCTTCAAACGAAATTCGTGTGTAGTATTCGACTCCTGGATCACTACGAGAACGTGATTGATCCTTTAGACACACTGTGGAAACCTCCAATCACAGAGCCGAAGAGGTCATAATGCTTCAGTTTGAGCACTCCAATGGGTGGTTTTGTTCCAGTGCCTATCGCGAACTCATTGAAGAAAATTGATGCCGAGCATCCTACGCGCGTTCTTCCGCGAAGAAGGATCGACATACAAACGTGCGACAGAGGCCGTCGGATGACTCCCCTCTCCTGTCGGCCCCGTGCCCCACCCCGCGCCGCAACCACGACGCCAGACACGTGAGCGGCGGCAGTGCTCCAGGCTCCGCCACGCCTCTCCGCTGTTGTCACTACGCTAGCCGAAGCGAGTTACAATCGACTTCCGCCTAACACAACAATGCCTTTTTACTTTCATTTTAGTATTATGGCAATACTTGTGGCGGGTACATGCTCAGTGAACGACTCAATAAATGCATCTCGCAACAAAAAATATTACCGATCTCCGAATACTAAGTTTCTTATTAAAATTATTTTTTCCTCCTAAAAACGTGCCCCATCTTATTAACTAAGCTGTTACTAATATCATGTCATTTTTGTGATAAATTTGTCAATAAATTTGGTGCCAGAGTTTTGTACTACCAGATTTTACATCGTAGGTGAAGCATTTGGCATCCGAAAATAGCAAAGTTAAGTAAAAAGTATACAAAATAAATAAATTTTAAATATGCAATTAGCCTGAAAATTTTCGGCTGATAAAAGTAAGTAATTTGGTGAAACTCATGAAAGCAATGTAATTATTATATCCACTTGGTTTGATAGAGTAGTACTTAAGTTGTCCTAAAAAAAATACTTACAAAAAATTTTAAAAAAATCAAGCGCGATAGACATCAGAGACACTACACATAGTAACAAAGTAACAGCGCGAATATTTTTTTGTCAACTGATAACACACTCAAATCGAGAGCTGAGAAATGACGTCAACGCTCGCACGAGCACTACTGAAATCAATACATGACATTGTTCCCGATAGCAGAATTTATCGAAAACGAACTGCGAAAATAGTATTTGTCATTAGGGAAAGATCGCAAATATTCCCATAAAATTTAAATAACACATCATGTAAATGTACGCACAAAGAAAGCTCTGTATCCTGTCGATATCACTCGCGCACATTACATAAAACGTGACATCCCACCGCTTGTAACCACTGTTTCAAAAACATCAAGCGAGACACACATGGAAAAAGCCCAAGTGACAGTCATGCGCTTAAGTAGGACAACAGAGGGACATATGTTTCCGCATCGCACATCATGAAGCTCATATGCAATGTTTATATTCATACCTTTCGAATTTTACATGATGATTCGACGATGTCTCCTCCCAATACGTCGGCGTGTCCATAATTAGAACGTCTATTAATGGACATCAGACGAATTTGCAGTTGCAAAGCGACGCAAGTACAGTCGTCTTCTTTCTGTCCGATCGGAACAGCACTCGCGAATTAAACGGCAAATAATATTGTATATTTCGTCCCTTCAGCGAAGATACCTCGCGAGAAGGATCCGCTGGCTCTGCAGCGCAACTGAGCACTCATTTGTTTCCACGCCTCGGCACACGTGCCGACGGCCATGACGTCACGCGTCACACAATCGCCATGTGCCCTTGCGCGCCGGTCACGTGGAATCCAACGCGACTGGGGTCCTATGCCGGTCGTGAGTGCGACAGAGGCAGCGCCCGTGAGAGCGAGATAGAGGGAGGCGACCGCCCACGAGAAAACGTGAGGAGGCGGCGGCGGGGCTGGCGTGTGGAGGGGAGAGGAAGGTCGAGGGGCGGCGCGACGTGTTCTCTGACCGCCCGGCCCCTATACTGCCTGAACCCTATTGGCGATTTTCGGGGGCGGAGCGAAATGCACACGCGTGCTTTTCTCATAGAACGCTTTTATATCCCCACAGTCGGCCAATATCCGGAAATCAATGCACGTTTGTCACCGATTGAAATCCCCTTTCTTTGCGTCACGTTTGCCGAGTGTTGTGGTTTTGCATGCGCTTCTATCCGCACGGGGACGGGCAACTGGATGAAGTGGTTGGGAATCGGGTTGGCATGGACGGGCGCCGGCGTTTTTCGCAGGTTTGAGTAGCGGTTGCGAGTGCTATCAATACTCCAGATGACCCCTGCGATGCGATAGACGCAAATAGCGCCACGCTCCTGGACGTTTCCTCTATTTCGTCACCGTGCTCGTGTGGCCCGCGAAGGCGATTGTTTCTGTCTGCGGCAGCGGTCCCACGTTCACTGCAGTCTGCTTGCCACCGATCTCGCGTGCCCCTCCATGCAGTATTCTTGGGGGCATGTGTGGCCTACCTCTCCTTTCCCCTACGTTTTTTTAGCTTAACTAATCCTTATTTACGGCATTTTTTTAAAATGAAAATTAACAAATTCTTAAGAAAACATTTTTCCTTCACTTGCATAAAATAGTGTTACACAAGGTCAAAGAACTGATACTTCTGACTCAAAATGTAACTATTATTAGCTTGTTGGAAGTATTGTAGTACCTGAACTCTTTGTATTATACATCTTAATATGTTTCCCCTCTTTAATTTACTCTCCAAGTCTCAGAGAAGGAATTAAATGTAAATACGCGAAATTTCGGTTAAAACATAATCAAATATTGTTAAACAAACTTTCTACTCACCGCCCCCCAGACACAGTTTTGGTCTGCAAAAGCTTTTTGGGTTCCAATAATCCTTAATGGACCTAAGCTTTGTTAGTTAAATTATTACTTCAATATTTTTCCACTTAATGTGGCCAGTCCTCATAAAATATCATGAACATTTTAGTCATTACCTTTCAAATCAATGTATGGATAATGGAATACGCTTGAGGCATCTTATTTAGTTTCTATGAATGTTTATTATAGCTGAAAATTAAATATTCCACAATATTTTTGAAGGGAGCTATTATCAAATACTGACTATATTAAATTAATTATTGAACCATGTTTTCCACTTACAATGAATATATTTTAATTCATTTTTGTTTGGTATTATTTTCAACCCTCTTATGATATGTGATAAACATTGTGATGTAATATAGAAATTCAATAAGAATTCACCAAATTTTTACAGAAATTAGGGTGACAAAAACAAAATTCTTTCAAGTTATTGTACAGTTCCTTTCTCAATCTTTTTTCTAGTGATAACAACAGAAAAATAAACGTAAACATATATACAAATATTTTTTTGATTAACACTTTGTTCATATTTGATAGATGAAGTGGATCATGAAAGCATGCCCATAGATGGATATTCATAAATTTATTCCCCCTTTCTTAAGTAGATCTAGTCTTCAATGAGGAAAAACACAGAATGAATTTCATTTTCAGATCTTCAAGATGATTCCGGACTGATTTCATTGAAAGGTAAGCGAGTCAGAGTTTACAAATGTGACAAGAGCCTTTGATTCTTTTGTGATTTGAACTCTGGACTATCTGTCTAATGAATTTTCAATGACAGAACTTGATCACAATTAGAGCAATACTGGATAGTTCCATCTGTTATATTTGAAAATGCTAGTTCCAACTGACTGAACTACAATCATTCTGTCCTTACACAAAAATCCATACTCATATTAACATTGATAGTGTGAAATTAATTTCTTCTCATTAATAAGTTGTGACAAATTATATCACTGAATTGCATAAAAAATTAAACCTACAGTTGGACTTAAAAATGTCATAGCATACTAAACATGATAAAACAGCACATTGTTCCCACTACATTTTTCTTCAAATTGATCAAGAAAAATTACTTGTTTTTGGAAATGATAATGTTATAACACGACATATGTTTCAGTTACATTTTTATTTTCCTGAAGTTTTATCTCAAAATAATGTGACTTGATGTTGTACATGATAGAATCACAATCTCTCTATGCAAATAAAAACTACAAGGTGAGACAATCAACACCTTCATCTGTAATAATTTTCATAAAATATTGGATATATTTTATCCCCCTAGAAAAGAAAACAAATTCACTATACAAATCTGAAACAAGTTAAAATGGAACAAACAGGGTAGGGAACATAAAATACAGATTTATGTTATAGAAGTCAATTTATACAAAATATTACATGATCCTGACTTTTGACTACTTGCAATTTCATTTCAACAGAAAAATGAATTTGTAATAAAACTTGTAACCTGTAGAGACACAGAACACTAGGCTTCTGAACTAGTGGGGTGCAGGTAACAAAGCTATGAATATGGACAATCCAAGAACAGAGAAACAGACAAGCAGGGCACTCATGGCCACAGAAGTACTTCTAGTTTGTGTAAATGTCTTCTGGAAGTACACATTCAACTGTAACACAATATGCCCTTTGGACTGCAGCAGATTCTTGGTCAACCATTTCATTAACACATATGGCTTCTAACCAGGCACAAAGTCAGGGGCCCAAAAAATGTTCTTAAGACTTCTTGCAGCAAAGGTCTACCTGGTTTGTGAATGATTTCTACAATGTTGAGGATTTGCTTGTCATGAAGCATCTTGGTTTCCTCATCTGCTGCCTACTATGACTTTCTGATTTGTATGTGATCAAGTCTGAGGTAACAGAACTCAACTTCACAATACACTTTTATAACAATAAAATGTAACTTGACACTTCTTATATTAAAAACTTTGCACTGTATAAATGTGCTCACAGTTTGGATGTCTCTTATTTCACATTTGACTCACACTAACTGAGTACCAATATGGTTCATAATATTTGCTTGTTCAGCAAGACCTGTGAATTCAAGAAAGTAACAATATATTCAGGTTTTTATTTAAAAAAAGATGCATTATACATTTCTCAATTAAGCTATTTATATAGTTTTAAAATTAGGTTAAAAGCAATATATACAGTAACACTTTTATGAAAAACTTTGCTTTATTTAACTACTACAAATATTTACGTACTAATTAAAAGTTATGTATTCAAATGCCACTTACATACCCATCCATAGCTTCAGATGTCAACTGCTATAATCTTTCTTCTGCTCGAGCTTTCATTCGATTTATAAATGCCTGACCTTTACTTTTCCTAAAGTTTTCATACGGGTCATTAATATTAATTCCTACACCTTTATACATATCTGTCCGATCTCGAACCTGCAAAAAATTCATGACACATTCAAACTATGAAATTCACAATAAATTTAAAACCATATTTAATAATGAAACATACTAAAGAAAAAATAATAAAATAATTGGCTTGGTTTGTTAAACTTGGTCACTTTTACTGATCGTATTGTTACTATTCCCAATACACTAATTTACTGGGGTAGGGACAGTAAATTAAGGGGAAGGTTGATACATGGGGTACTCAAAAGTGCCCATACACTGCCACAATACAAAACATTCAGGATTTACACAGAATTCAAACCAGCAGCCTTGGTGTAATACATGCTGCACTGCCCTTGGCCTCTCTTACATTATAATTTCTGGCATTAAATAGTGTATGTTTTAGAACATACAACCTATTTGTGAAAATATTAAGCTAAGGAGAATGCAATTGCAGGAAAAATGTTACTAAGGATGTATTAAGTAAAGCAGGATTTAAAAAGGAAGCATCAAGTAGGGTTGTCAAGAGAATAAATTTGCTGTGGCGATAATGAAACAACATGAAACACTGAATAGAATAGTGATAGTGAATTTCAAAACTGTAGATGGAACGTTATAAGGTGCAGATTTTGGTTTGGTAACAAATTAATAGTTTTACACCAAGAAAGATAACAGTTTCTGTGCAGAAATACAATATTAGGAATCTTGTCCCTACTAGATTATCGCAGATTTTGGTTTGGTAACAAATTAATAGTTTTACACCACGAAAGATAAGAGTTTCTGTGCAGAAATACAAAATTGTCTCTACTAGAGTTATCTCAACTCAGAGGACATCCACAAAAAAGAATTTTCCAATTAAAGCATGGCATTGTTTTTCCCGGGACACAATAAATCTCACATACATTACACATATTTTAAGTTGTCTGAATAATGAAAAGAAGCCATCATGAAAAGGATGTCTGAAATTCTGATCATAAAAAAATTACAAAGGTCTGTAAAAAAAAACATGATCCAAATGAATAATTGCAGAAAGTACTATTCCCAAAATTAAATACACAAACAAGATTAACCCTCGAGCGGCAGAGCTGGTGCAAAATTGCTACCAGTGAAATATTTTTCCTGGTATGTTCAGAGATAGCCCTTTCCGATGTCGAGGCCTGTGCTATTCCTTGGGTAACATTCCAAGAACAAGATAAAATCGTTTCTAACACCACTACCATAGTCAGTTTTCAGCGATCTATAAAATTGTGAGGTCAGAGCAGTTTGGAGCAGATTTGCACCACACTGCCACTCTCATGTAAGCATCCTTTCTTGCTGCACATTTCACTCTCAAATCACTAGATACGTACATTACATTAGTTGTATGTGTATTTATATTTCGAAATGTGACTTTTTCATTATCAACTAGGTCTTGGAGAAGAGAATTCTTGAAATCTCAGGAAATACAAGAAATACTAGAGGAAGATTTTTTGTCAAATAAATCTGTCTCTGAAGTGAGGCGGATGAATGTGTGAATAATAATGATATAGCTCATGATTCAACTTCTGAGATTGACAAGGAAAATATTTCTGATATAGAATATGAACTTGATGGGGAAGAAAATTGTTTTGTAGGAAGAGATAACATGACTCAATGGAGGACAATTAAAATATGTTAGATGAGATAATAACATAAATATTCATGAGAATAATTAAGATGTCCAATACACACAACAGAAATTTTTGAGAAATATCCCGTAATGAACTTTGGGCTGTGCCAGGCATATTGATAGGAATGAAGAAAGGAAATCATACTAATGTGAAGAAACTTTGGGACACAGATGGTACAGGTATAGAAATTTGATGTGCATACATGAGTTATAGAAGATTTTTACCTTTGTTGTATTTAATTAGGTTTTACAATACCCAAACCAGAATTGATTGTACAAAAAGCGACAAAATTGCTTGTATCTGAACTATTTTAAATTTGTTCACTAACAATTGTAAACTGTGTCATAATCCAGGTGAATTTGTTACAATTGACAAGAAATTCAAACCATTTCATGGAAGATGCAACTTTATCCAGTACATTCCTAGCTAACCAGCCAAAAATGGGTTGAAGAGTTTTGCACTTTCTGATGCAAAAATGTATTTCACAACAAATACTGAGGTGTATTGCAGTAAACAACCAGATGGGCCATTCTGCATCTCAAACAAGCCAACTCATATTGTTCAAAGGTTGATAATGCCCATTTTTGGATCAAAAATAAATCTTACTACAGATAACTGGTCCACCAGTTACCCACTGGCACTGTCCTTGCTTCAACAAGGTGTGACAACAATAAGTTCAATGAGAAAGGACAGAAGAGAAAATCCGAAGGAGTTCATGCCAAATAAAATAGAGTTGTGAATTCCGACATATTTGGATATCAGAAAGATGTAACATTGCTTTCCTATGTGCTAAAGAAAAATAAGTCAGTGATATTGTCCACTATGCAAGATAATGGTATTGTTTTAGAAACAGGGCACCAAAAAAATCCTTGATTATAACATGACTAAAGGTGGCATTGACACCGTAGATCAGATGTGTTGGAGTTACAGTGTTTCCCATACAACCAGAAGATGGCTACTAGCATGAGTTTTTACCTATTGATATCAAAGAAATACTTTGCTAGTACAGACCTGAAGGAAAGTGTGAACAGCAAACTACCACAAACACAAGAGGCAGATGTGTCATTTGTGGCAGAGCGAAAAAACAAAATTTACATCCACAAAATGTGATGTAGTATGTCAAATGTTTGTTTGGAAATAACATTCTAAAATAGCAATATCGTGCAGTGCATGTGTCAGAAATTATGATTCAGAATGCCTTGTCTATAAACAAGAGAGTAATATTATTCACACATTATTTTGTACATGCAATGTTTGTTAACTGTGAGCCATTCCACATTTAATTGAACACCGTTTGGACCTCAGGTGTTCAAAATTGATTGAAACTTCTTGAATATGTTCTGATGGTAACTAAAAGAGGCTTAAATGATTTTGTCAGAATTTAACTTAATTATTTTGGAATTTATGCCGCATGAAATTTTCCTAAAAAGTGGAAATAACTAACAAATAAAATTGCTTATTTCTTCTGCTACATTAATCATGCCGAACAGAGATTAGTTTAAAATTAAAGCTTAAATACAGTTATTTAAGACTGTTTGTACTTGGATTTAATTAATAAATATCAATAATTAATTAAATATTACTTAATTATAAAAATTGCTATTTTACAAATTTTGCAAAAATAAAATTTTGTTTTAAAAATAACAATATATTCACATTTTAATGAAGTTCAAATATGCAAAATGTCCAATTGGGATATTTATAATAGACGTAATAAAAAAATATTAATTAAATGTAAGCACAGCCACATTGTGTTCTGTGGGGATGTTTCAATATTAGTACTACTTCGAACAGATGAGATTGGAATGGTACATGGTCATGCACTATCTTAAAACATTTTAAAATGAATGGGTATGAGAATAGGTTACTTTTAAACCTGTAGCTTTGGAGGATTTTTGTTATTGGTAACTGGCCCTGAAAATCGAAGCCCTTATTCTGTCATCGGTGGACCCAGCTCAGGCAACTCATACGGCCCTCCGAAGGTGTAAATAAAGAGGCCCTTCTTCGAAATCCAGAAAAGTGCCCTCATCAAAGTTTCTGCCAGAATTTGTTTAACTTTTTGTGAGTTCAGTTCCACTACAGCAGCACCAGGACGAGACACATACTATGCTGCCCAGCAGATACAATTTGATTTAGTGCTGGGTCTACGTGCAACAAGTGTAAACTGTGTATAATGCAGGTTTTACATAATTTGTGTTAGCCTGTTTATTTAATGAATAATATCATGCACCCAAGACATGACTTCCATTTTAATACCTACATTAAATTTGAAAAATCACTATGATAGGTATAAGAAGAAAAACATGTGACATCCTATTCCATTGTCATTCAAAATTCAGTTCAAGGAGCACATTGGAATAAGAAACCAGTTCATACTTCACCCCTTTGTTATATATTTCAAATATACTCATCCAAGGCTCAAACGTGTAATAAAATTTTCTGAAAGCCTAAAGCATGATACAAATGCAGTTCATCTTTTCCAGAAACATTTGATTAAATTTCTAAAAGTTGAAGTAGGTAATGTCAAAAATTGTAATATTTTTTAGGTGCAGAAAGTGTTCATATAAAAACCGGAAGTTTTTCATGAAGAAGATTTTGGTGTCAATTCTGAATGGCAAATTTTTGCTACTTCCTAGGGGAAAGAGCCTTGCAATGGAATTGGCGACCCCCCCCCCTCCCAAAAAAAAAGATTTGCTACGTGAGCATGTCTGCAGCCACTTCAGGATCCAATTACGACACCACAGAAATTATTGGAGTGGGCAAAAAATGTTAGTGGTATTCTCTTTATGTTTTTGACAATTAATGATCAGAAAAAAGAATGTGACTTATTGAAATTCCATTATGAAAAAGAGAAACTAGTTACGCAAAAATACACTTGTGGATTTATTATTTTCTTTACTTTTGTAAAATGTATATTAATGAATGAATGAATATGAACTTCAACTACTTGTACAATTTCAACTACTCATTCCCAACATTCTCTTTTTGTTGATAAATAGACTGAGTGTATTGGACTCCATGGCATGAACCGGGATACTGCTGTCCTCATACCAGATGAAAAAAGTTAATTTATTGCAGCTGTATTTATGCATATCCCATTCTGAAATTTTGTACAATCATACAATAAAAGGTAGAGAATTTAGTGATAATTTTTATATTTAAAAAATTTTTTGCTCACTTAAAAATAATAAAAATTTAGAGTTAAAAAGTTACGAAAAATAAATAATTTTAATTTTTGTGTAATTTTAGGACAAATATAATAAAATATGTTATAATCTATAAAATGAAGCTAGTTTGAATTCTTTAGTGTGCTTAGTAAAGAAGATGTGAGTGTTTATATATGAAAGTACGAGTGCTATTTTGTAATTTTTAATTTCAAATTACTCTGAAGGTGTACGACTTATATGATAATACAAGAACTTGAGAATTGATTTTACTATTAGAATGGATTCACAGAGTAAAAAAAAAAAATCAAATCAAATCAAATCTGCATAAATTATGATCACAAGGGAAAAAGTAGCCTTCTTTAGAGAGAAAATGTGGGTGGAAGCAAATTTGAATCATGCTGCTGCTGAAGTTACTTTCAGGGGCGCTGCCTCTCAAGGATCAAAAGAGTGAACCAATTGTGTACTTCATGGATGAAGAAAAATCTCAGCTCACAACCACATTCCTTATATATATGTACTAAGAAAGTGAGGGCTAACTGAAAGAATATACATTAATCTAATTTATAAAAATAAGTAACAACATCAGAAGAAATTTCTTATTCTATATTATTAGTCTTTTTACTTCTAATATTGTAATGAAAAAGAATACTTTAAATAACATTTTTGACAGAATACTGCCCGTTTTCACCAAAACTCTTTTAAATTCTGCAACGGGGATTCACAGGAATTGTGGTATCAAAAACAGAAAAGAATTATGTCCTCACCTCTCCCCCTGAAATAGGTTGTTCAATGCCTTGCTCTTTGGCACCAAGTCCGGCACCACCCCAACCCATCTTCCGCAGCATCTGGTGACCTTTGTTGCTCTCGTCCAATTGCCGTTGGGCTTCTGCCTTCGAATAGGTAGACCCACTAACAGAAAGCATTAATGTTACAAGTAAATGTCATGGAAGGAATTCATAAAACAAATCTTAATGGGCTCTTTTCAAACAAACGAAAGACATACAAAATTGCATGCTAATTAACAAACAATTTGAAACTAGAATGTGGCACAATATAGCAAAAAACATTAGATGTGGAGTGCACAATATTATACTACAATGTAAAGGAAAAGTACAAACAATTATAAAATACTTTAAGTGTGAATACAATTTACACCCAAAAAGTGACAGTAATGCTGGCATTACAATTTTGAGAATATTGTATGATGCCTCCTGCTATAAATTATTGACAAAGATTTAACGTTTTATATAAAAACACACAACATAATACAATAAACACATTTTATTTCTAATTATCACATGAATTTCATCATAAGCTTATGAGAAATTAATAAATTACTGAAGTGTTGCAAAAAATTTTAATTGTTTATAACTTTTGTTATAATGCACATTTCATAAAAGTAAAAATAATTTCTTATTTGTCTCACACAACATTACAAACTGATTTTAAAAGGAAACTAAAAACTCATTTTTTGAGGTGGTCCACTAGAAAAAGTGAAGGAGAGTTGCATGCATGACACAACAAGCCCAGAACCCTTCAAGAAATATTGGAAGTAATTTTGACCTTCTGTGATCACAAACAATCAAATCTTTCTAGCATGTAGTGGGAATGAACAAACACGATCAACAGACAAACATATTATCCTTATTATTGTTTGCAGTCAGGGGAAAAATTGCGTAAACAGCGGGAAATTTTACTTTTAAATGAGGGTTCATATCTTGAATTGAATTGAAAACATTACATTGAATTGAAGGGACCAGAGAAACCAATGTAAATGATTGGAAATCATAAATTCCGTGACCACAAAGAGTGGGGTTTTACTGCATTTAATATAACATGCTGAATTTCACATTAGCAATTTTAAATACATTCAAACATTTAGAACAATGTGATAATAATTTAATGTAACAATTATTAGCATAAGAAAGGATTATAAAACTGCTTACAGGAAAGAAGGTGGCGTTGGACTCCTTTCAGGAGAACGTTGCTGTCTATTTGTCGGACTCCTTGAACCTGAACGAGACCGTGATCTGGAGCGTGATCGAGACCGTGACCTGGAGCGAGATCTTGACCTTGAACCAGAATGCGACCTAACCACAAAAACAAACACAGATTAAAAATATTACTAGAAGTCAAGTGCTGTATGTAATTCCATTTTGTGTTAACACAGTACCTGGATCTTTGTTGATACACTTTTGATGGTCTTCGTTGGGGAGATCTTCGAGTATTACTGTTCACGTTACTATTATTAGTGCTATTGTTAATATTACTACTATTGTTGGGTGGTCTGTTATTGATATTACCAAAATTCCTATTGATAGGAGGAGGTGAACGAGAGCGAGATTTTGATTTGGAACGACTTCGACTGTAAATAACAAAATTGGATAAAATTTAATACACTGAAAATTTACAAATTTGTTTCTTAATATGTTACTATGCTATTTACTACCTTGCTTTGCACCCACCTTCGGTAACGTTTTTTAGGAGGTGATTTACTCTTTGACTTTGGTCTAATAATGGGAGAAGGGGATTTAGAGCGAGGTCTACGGCCTTCTAAAATATCTTCTTCTTTCTTCTTACGAGCTGCATTCTTTGCTCGATAATATTCATACAGTCCGAGCTTCTCCCAGCCCTCGCTGTCAACAATCCGTCTATATTGTGTAAGTATATGCGTGTTACAAAAATCAAGGTAGAACAAGGTGCAAACAAACTTCAGTGCAAATGAAGTGTCTGCTTCAGAAGTAACTTATAAAATATATAGAGTCAGTTATGTACCTTAGAACCATTCTACTGCATGATCTTTATTGCAATATAATTGATTAACATGAACCTTTTTTCTCACAAAGGAAAATAATACAAATATGATAACGATTCCAGAATTTATAAGGAAAAAATCCTCATTCTAATAATTTCTTATTTATTTCCACCCATTTTTTAGGTGTTAATGAAATACTCTGAAATTACTCATAAAGAAAATGCAACAGTATAGTTCTGCACTACATAATTAACATCATTTTAATATAAACTAATTATATTATTAACTTTATTAAATATGATGTATTTGAGAGAATGATAAAATTTGTCCATACCTGACAGGCACATCCTGATTTATTAAACAAAATAATACATTCAATTTTCACAATGTTTTAATAGAAATTATCTAAGACCGTTTTGTTTGTGTACTCTGTGACCAATGGACAACAAATGTTCATGTTAAAACATTTCTAACAATTCTCAATATTTATTAAGGAAAATTAACCTATTTTCATCTGTAATTGCAATGAATTGCATTTGGGTTTCTTTAAACAGCCAAATTAACCTACTTTAAGACAGAACATTAACCTACTCTTATTTTAACGGCAAAATAATCTTTTTTTCATTATTAAAAACACACAACAACAACAACAACCAGTAAAACCTGTCTAATGACAGTTCCTTCAAAAAATGTCCATCTTGGCAGGTTTTCGTCTTATAGAGGGTTGGCCAAAATGCAACTTATAACTTACGTGCAGTATTTTTTATATATTTTTGCTAGTGAATCAAAATAATGAAAATAAAGCATATTTTATCATCGAAAATATTGCAGGGAATAAGAGTATCAACAGCAAAATAGGAAATATATGATAAGTGTTTATTCTGCACTTTACAAATAAATTTAGCATATGTTGCATACTTGTCATCCTAGCATAAGCCACACTAGAATGACAAGATAGAATTCCCAGAATCCCAGTGTCAAGTGAAGGGCGATGCTTTTGAGAACTGGACGGGGTGCGGATGACCAACTTACAGATTCAGAGGAACAGCAAGAAGTAGCAAAAATCACACCAAAACGTGACAAAGCAACACTCGCAGAGTTAGCCACAGATTCCCTGACAGCAGGTATAAGAGGAAAACTGATCATTCACTCTATTGTCTCAAGATGTGACCGCACTATGCCCAAAGATAAGCCAAAAATTTAAAATGAATTTCCATTTTAGCTAAGTAATAATCACTTTACTTTCTCCAAAAAACATTCCATTTCTGCATTGAACAGGTTTCCGGCTTATAGAAGTCATTTTCATGTACAAAATCATTCCCTTCTGAGATTTTTTTGTCCAGGATGTCAGGTTTCCATCTTACAAAGGTTTAACCTTAGGCAGGATTTACTATACTATTATCTAGGCTGTGAATTAATTTGAAGTCTCTCTTTCCATCTGCAAAGATCTTTCATGTTCTCTCAAAAACTTCATATGAATAAAATTAACAATATGCGTCTTCATAATTAAAAAAAAACTTATGTATTTCCATAGTATTTGTCACATTAAAACAATTCTAAAAGCATAGAAAATAGACTTACCTATCACGAGGTCTATCGTGACATGGAGGTGCATAAAATGCTTCAACAGCTGCAAGAAGACGTTCACTAGGAGGTGCTGGTGGAGGTAGACGAATACTATCGGGATCTAAAGGTTTGTACTCTCCATCTTCCAGCTACCACAGTAACAAAAAATAAGTTTATAAGTGAAATTTTGGAATAAATATGACATAAAAACCATACATATTAGGGAGTTTGTGCATGCCATAGTGGGCAGCACTATCGCTCTCCTGCGCATGCACAGATGCACTGAAGTGATGCAAAACTTGAATGAGCATGCACAGAAGATTGATAGTCATTTACATTTTAGGGTGCATAAACTCCCCATTTTCAACTGTGCCTGTGGGTGTCATATTTTTTTTCGTACATTTTAAAGATGTTATAATGATTTGTAATACTTCTATAGGGCACAAGTAGCTGAAGTAACTTGGCATTGCTTGGGTATTTAATTATCACAACTACCTAGTACTTAGGAAAAGGAATGAATTGAATTTACTACTTAAAATTGAAGTTATTTTACATTCCCCCTGATATGTTGCTGCACTGCATTGCCAGCCATCTTCTTCCGGCCCCACCTTGCTAGATACATAGGTAATTGTGTCTTCAGCCACCATTTCACCACTTCTGGTGATTAAGTTTGAAAAAGCCTTTTTTAGTAGTTACATACAGCATAACAGAAACCTATATTTTATAAATCATCCTCCTATACTTTTGCCAATTTTGAATGGATATGGATATTACAATGTTTTTACACAAGTGTATGACACTATGGAGCAACTAAGTTTTGGAGAAGTCATCATTTTGCTGATATGACCATAGTGTAGTGCTTGTAAGTGTAAGTGTGTGTAAAGGGTAGGATAGGACAAGGAATGGAAAGGAAAGATATGTGTGGCCTATGTCCTTTTGGTAGGATACTGCTTCATAATTCGCCTGGTATTGATCGGAAAAACCATGGAAAACTACCAATCAGAGCAGCCGGCCACTAGAATTCTCCTCCAAACAATGACAGAACTTGACCTAGCTATCCCGCTAGTATCAAAACTTCTGCCAACGTCAGGACTTGAACACCAAGGTCTACTGGTCAGAAGCACTGCAGTGACATCAGATGCCCTGAATCACCTCTCACGGTACTTCACATAGAAATTGTTTCATTGTCACACTAGAAGCCTTAGCGAGTATTTCAACCCACATCAATGATCTTATTCATTACAATACCTTGCTGATTACGTAAATCAACAATATCTACACATCAAAAATTGTTGAACTTGTTGAATAATTGAAGCAAGTTTTAAAATTTCAAAAGTTTTGATGAAAAACAAGACAAATACCATATTATTAAGCAATCTTTGCTCTATCCTGGGTAAAAAATTTCAAACGGTTTTTGAGAAAATCTTGTTTCAAAACATTTTTTAAAAAATTATCATGATTTCACCAGAACGTACACGAGAACTACTCACATTTTAAGAACAAATATCATTAAGAAAAAACATTTATTTTCAATAATGTAGTTATAGGGGAGGGTGGGAAAATATAAACTTTTGCAATTTTCCAAATCAGAAGTTTTATAAAAAATCTGACTGCACCAGACAAGATCAGTGACTAACCCAGAAAAAAGAAAGCAAACCACGTGAGTAACCTGGGCAAATAACAAAAGTAAGGGAAAAAAAATAAATAAATAAATAAATAAACTATTAGGATAAACAAATCTTAGCATACTTAATTTTTTACTGTTTTTCAATCACCAACCCAAAATAAAATGATTAGTAAAAACTAGTTGCCAAAGCCTTATCATATAAAAAATCATTTCCATGTGGTATTTTTAATGATTTAAAGAATATAAATACCTTAATAAGAGGAACCATCAACCCAGCAGGCAATTCAAAATATGGCACACTAGGCATCAATTCATCGACGACTTCGGGTACTTGGTTATTTATTGGAGGTAATGGGAAGCCTGGTGGAGGTTTGCTCAAGTCTGGCAATTCCAAGCCTGTGTAAAAAATCTAACTGTTAGACAACTCTTTGCTATTCTTATTTTCTATTATTTTATGAGTATCATAATAATTTTCTTCACAGACCATTTACCAAACACCTAAAATCGACTTGAAGAAAAAATTATTCTTATAAAAAAGATAATTTTTTTACTGAACCCTAGGTGATAAATACAACAGAAATTACATTACATACAAGTGCATTTTAATACTATTTCAAATGACATTTTTAGCTACTAATGACTTTTCTACTTTTGAAACTAGTTGATCTATAAAAACAATTAAATAACACGGTCATACTTTGAATAAACAAGGAGAATTCTAATTATTATTAACCTATATGATCAATTGCAACTTATTATATAAAATGTTTTAAAACAAAGCACAACATATGGACAACAAAGTCGAATGAAACTCAAGAAAACAAAACACACAATAGCCACAGAGTTTTTAAATTTCTCAATTACAACACAACATTCTCGTAAATTAACTTTTGTAATTCCCCAAAAGGAAGCATTTGTATTTTAATTTTAATAGAAGAAAAATAGTTTCACGCTCCTTTACTGAAATAATTCAATTCAATAATGCCTTATTTTAACGGGTGAGCTATGAGGTCTGTTCTTTCGCCTGACTGTGTAAATTTTACAATGACCCTTTTGTTATCTAGCAGCAAATGATCTCTTGAATGAGGAAACAGGCAATTAGAATTTAGCTCAGAGGCTTCTTTAAAGCTTGCAGATCTTTTACATGTAATACAACATGGGACAGCTGGCTTTACCTCCCTCTGAAGGAAGGCATACGAAGAAATTTTTACTCTTAAAAATGCATTGTTTTGATTAGATTTGAATGTACACACTTTGGCATTATGCCCAAAATGCTAACTTTTACACCATTGAAGTTGCTAATCTAATAATAATGTATAACTAAAATGACATGTAACAACAGTTTCTTATAAATCAAAAAATTGAATGTTTCATTGAATCTTTGATATTGAACATCAGGACAACAATTACACAAACAAATCCCTTAATGACTTCGTCTTTTAAACATTCATGTTTGCTTAATCAAAATTGGAATAATTATGATACTCAAAGGATCACCAAGTAAAACATTTGGAGAAGTACAGTGGACTCACATTAATTTGATATTGACTTAAAAATTCATGAAAACTGGAGTTTTTGGAAGTTATATTAGAATAACTTGAAGCTCAAAGAAAGAAAAAATCCAGAAATTTAAGGAAGTCTTGTATTTATTAAATTAAGTTACATGGGAACCAGCAAGATTTTCCCAAGGAAAAACAAAACAAATGGTAGTAACAATAGGACATCTGATACTTTTGTAGTATCTATATAGAAGAGTGAAGCATATCAATTTTTAACTCAAGACGAAAAAAACTGAAGTGGTACAAGAAATGAAAAGGGGGTGAGATGCAAATAAATATTTCTTTAGAATATAGAATAATGACAAACACATTAATGCCATTAAAAAAAAGGGGGGCAAAATAACAGGTGCTTGAACGAAAGGTGACTAAAACGACAGGCTTGCATCATTTGGACTGTTATTCCTTTTTGAAGAAGCACATGTTGGTTAATTTGAATTTTGAAAAATTCAAATTTTTTAGCATTGCCCACAGTGTTTACAGTAAAAAGAGTCCACTGTATACCGAACATTCATTAATGACATTTATCCATTCAAAAATCTAAGCACCTGGAGGAAAGTTCACTGGAGGGTAGCCTGGAGGTGGCTGACTGAAGTTTATCTCTGGAGGACCGTGTGGAGGAGGGCCAACCTCATTTTGGTGAGGTATGGGAGGTGGAGGCTGTTGCTGTGGAGTACCTAGCACTGGAGGCATCTGTGGCAACTGGGCTCCAGGAGGCAGCTGTGGAGGTGGTGGTGGAGGCTCTGAAAAATGTAAAGAAAATGAATGTCACCATTGCACAAACTCAGTTGCCATGTACTGAAAACCATTAACCCTCCAGCGAGCACGTTGGTGTTCAAAGTACACCAGCATCAACATTTTTATTGTTTCAATAATTAAACATAATTGGGGGGTAATTTTGATTCAATTATTCATTTAGTGAGTTTCTACCTATCTTTCAGTGGAGTTAGGTTCATTGTTGTGCACACACAACTGAGTTAAGAGAGATTTTATGTAAGTGTCCAGCCTGGCGTTCAAAATAATCCAAGCAAAAAGTAATAAGATTTAAGGAATTAATTTTTGTTTTCTGCCTTCTTTGATTTAAGTCTCTACTGTAATCAGCACATTAGACTAAAATATGTACAAAATATACAGTACGCACATTGTGAATTGAAATTTGGCTTGCCTGTTACAGGATTCTTCTTAAAATAAAAAATAAGTTGCAGTTTTCTTTTCAATTATTAAAACAGAGAGAAAATCTTGAAATCCAGTAAAAGTAAATGACTTTCCATGAGACCTTCGTAACAGGTTGCAAGGTCGTAACAGGTACATTGCTTACCTGCAGTAGGTGGAACTGTAGTATTTACTGTGACCACAGCAGCAGCAGCCGCAGCTGCTGCAACAGCTGCTTGTTGCTGCTGTTGCTCTAAGGTCTGTTTCTGCTGCTCCAGGGTCTGCAAGAACAAGTAAAAAGAAGGTAACAAATCAACAAACTTTGGAATATTCAACAAAACATTTAAACTTGGACCTCTGGACCTGACAATAAAGTTTATTTAAGAATATTAAAATTCTCGTGTTGGTCAAGAAATGCATTGAGGAAACTGTAGTATTACAAGAGCATCCAATCATAACCACCATTAGTACTAAAAACACAAGGTTTGGAGAGAAAATGTTCATCCTAAAAAGTACAAAATATGCCCTTTCAAACATCCTGATATTCAGAAGAAATAAAGAATCAAAGGAAATGTAATTTCTAGGTAAATTAGGAACAAAATACCTCTTCATATACAATAAATAAATAAAAATGAATAAACATTTACGCAAAACCCTTAGAATATGCCAATAGTAACAGGCACTTTCTTTTTAATTAGTAAAATTTGTTTACCTTACTAAAGCACTAACTCTTCTATCGATGAAGTAAATGTTATTGTGATTTCATTCTCTTCAGTTATTTTTTTAAAGAATGCATTGCTCACCAAATAAATGTGACTTAAAAAGACTGAAAAAATGAGAGGATCCAAGTACCAAAAAGGAAAGAAATGGTAGCCGGACAAGTTATGCAATTTCCATAATAACTGATGCAGTGAAAAAGACAAAGATGATCCAAAGGCGGGCAGAATCCGACAGGCTCCCTCTACAGAATACCATTACAATTCCAAAAACCCCTTGCAATGAAATATCCTCATGAAGGGAGACAGAGGAGCAGAGTACAATAGTAAAACATGTATCTCTATTCTGGGTGTGGTGTTTCCTTGAAAAACACTAAGGGGAGATTTTTATGACAATATAAGAGTAACATCTATGGGATAAGGATATTATTAAACGCATTAAAGGACTAACACAAATCCCGAGAAAAATCATGAGAGGGGGAAGGAGTTGAATGCATCTTGGAAACTGCATGGAAAGTAGTTTTATTATGAGAAAGGCTCTTTTTTCAGGTTCTCCTAAAAGCTGCACTGTCTTATGGTTTTAAGAAAGCGTTAAGAAAATAATGGGTCCAAAATTCTGGTTAAGTTCTACTCTGTTATTACTACTTTGATAGAGAAACAATATCGTCTAGTACAGGAACACCGCCAAAAGAATGGATGGATAACTGTGGGGGACACTGTGACCTTACACACAATTATAATTATTACAAGATAGTAACCTGATAATTTGATTATCTACCTTTTGAAAAGGAAATGAAAAAGAAAAAAAACCTAAAGTAGTATTAAACAAAGCTTAACTCAAAAGAGGTGAAACAAACTTTACTTTTGTAAAAAACATAAATTGAACAATGAAAATTGGCAGACTTTCTCATCTAAGTAGTATCTGTTCTCTTCAGGTGGTGTTATCTTTTTGATTTTTACTCCCACCTTCTTCCTAGTTGCTATCTATCGGCCCCTTAAAGACCTTTAAGTGCCTCTCGCAGTACCTATCCTGGGGACATTTCCAGAGAAGAGCACTGTCACTCTCCCTGAGCCTTGATAGCCTATCATGGATTTGTACCATTATATACTTGCCCATGGGGTTGGTACCATTGTTCTGGGAGTAAGAAGTCAGTTCTAATTACATACACAGCCAGATTTTACACTCATCTCACACATAGTTACCAGAGAGAAAACAAGATTATGGAAGGATTAGGGAATCATTTAGGGACTTATGTCCCATTCCAGGAACACAAATAAAATGAATGCTTACGTGAATTTCAAATCCAGAGTCTTTGTGCCAATGCCCTTGGGCTTAATTGGACCAATTTCTGTCTCATAAGACAGATCCACTTGACAATATTACATACATACATACATACATACATACATAAATTGAATGTAAATTGTATAATAATTTAATAAAACTAATGATATAATTCATCCTTTTTATACATTAACAGCCTTTAATGTGCATTATATGAATGAATTCATTCAATGAATCATTTCATCTGAAACACTTGGATACCAAATGTTTACATAGCACCAATGTACACAAATTTACTATTCAGCATTAACATCTGTCAATAATGCACTCAGAAATTATTAATTTTGTCAAAATTAACTCTCACCAAATACCTACAACATAAATTTGCAGTATATTTCAATTAACACAATGGTTCATGTGCAATATTTATATTGAGCAAATTAAAAAACAAAAAATCTGCATATTTTCTCAATTTTCTAGACCACTAATGGTGGAATTCAAATACGACTTGAAGAATATAACAGAAAAGACATTCCTCTTTTTTAAGCACATTTTCATTGAAAAGCGTGGAAGGTTTTTTCAGAAAATGTTATTTGAGTGATTTTGACGCAATTTTGAGCTCACTTTGTCAGAGAGATTTTGAGAAACTGTCTTCAAATGAAATTTATTCTCCACAATCATTTCTTTAATTAAGGTCAAGTAAATTTTTTGAAAAATATCAGTAGTTTTTGCATAATTCTGAATGAAATATGGGCCATATAGCAATATTAAAACCAATACTTTCTCAAAAACAGCTACACATTTTTTCTTTAAACTTTTTGTATGGATAGTGCTAAATACACTGAATAAGATAATTAAGATAAAGAATTACGAAAGATAATAATAAAGATACATAATTACTATTTTCAGGTAATTTCTTGGTTTTTTTAATTAAAAAAAAAAAAAAAAAATTCAAATATTACTGTCACTTAATACACTTAATATTTACATTATAGGCATTTTTAAATACGTTATTGGTTTCATATTTACAAGTGCATCAAATGTTTTCTAATTATGTTTCTCAAAATCTCAAAAGTTGACGAGCAAGTTGAATATTTTCATGATTCACTTGAATGACATTTTCTAAAAAATGGGTTCAATTGTATCAAAGAAAATTTGCAATAGAAGCAAGTGGTACCCTTGTACAATTCTTAAATTAATAGTATCATTCTACTATTAGAGGACAGAAAAACTGAGGGAAACTTTGAGAATATTAGTAATTTTTGAGTGCAAAGTTGAAAGACTTTAGTGTTAGAAAAAAACTTTGTATTTTTGCAGTGGAAACGAATGGTATCAAAGATATTCAGAGTCAATGTTGCAAAGCACATTAAAGGTGGCAAATGCAAAAAAATTTCCATTTTAGTTATATTATTGTTTTTATCAAATTATTGATTCAAAGCCATAATACGTTCAGAATTAGTATGGTCAAGTGACTCAGCCTTGAGAAACCATCATGTGAGCAAAAATATGTGGACACTGAGGGCTCGAACCTACATTAAACATATGTTTTCAGTTGGGTTTATGTCATGGGGACATTACGAGTTCCTCATGTATTCCATCTATAACTAATATGCCTAGCTTGAGAGGTAATTGTGTGCAATGTGTGTGTTTAATAGAGGATTGGAATCCTACATCCTGATCAATGGTAGAACCACACAGGTGGGGCCCAAGAACACCATGATAAAATATATAAAGGACCAGGACTGAGATTGATCTATGCGGTGTGCAGGATGGGTAAAAGTGCTCTTCAATACACCCCATAGAGGAGCAGCAGAACCAAAAATGTCCGTGCCATTCTGTAGCATCAATAACTTTTTTAATGAAATCTGTTCTCCAAAAATATATCTTTAAATACGGCCTTGGACAATTTTGTCAAAATATATGGTTTTTGCATAATTTTGCATTAAATAAAGGCTACTTTTAAAAACAAATTTTTTGCAAATATGGAATCAAATTGTTGAATTTTTTTCTTGATTAGAGCAAAATATGCTGAACATCAAAATGATCAAGTCCCATTTCCTGTCAACTTTGATGTGAAAAATTTTTGAAAATAAAATTTTTTGCATAATTTTCAATGAAATAGTAACCACTGACAAGTCAATGTCAAATGACAAAAACACGATTTTCTATTATCTGTAAATTTTTCCTTATTTTTTTCCCCTTCCTTTGACTCATATGATATGATTAAAATCTTGGAAATGGGAAATGTCGGAACTTTTTTTTAAAGTGTCGGGCAGTTTACGGCAATGTAGACGATTGCAAAGTGGTTGCTTCACTACCTATTTGGTAAACCTAATTACCTGAGTTTTAATCCAGAAAAGAAGTCCAGACGGGGAACATGAATCTGCCTGTCACGTTGCTTAGGTTCCTGTGGTACTCATGTCAAGAGCTTCAAGGTGGAGGATATGTTTTGGGGCTCCAAGCCCCCTAGGCTACGGTCCGGGGGCCCCCAGTTGTGCACTTGGCTTCGTTGTGGCAGTGACCTGATACTCTGGGCATAGAGGAGGAACTTGTCCCAGTGCATTGTTTCACTCCGGTACTGGCCTGGAAAGGCAGTAGCTCTGGCAGAGCTTTCCCAGGAGACCCGACCCAGGCATTGAATGGGGAGGTTTCCGAGAAGAGTAACTGTGTTCCGGCGGAATCCAAAAACCAAGAGCCCAAAGTGAGCGTGTCGGCCACGGAGAGTGAAAGTAAAGGCAAAAAACCTAAGTGTCTACTCTGGGGATTTATCCTCTTGGTAAAAATTAACAGTATGTGAGGTTTGTAGCCCACCAGGGTTCAAACGAAGACGTCAAGTACACTGAGTAAGGAATTAGCCCAGTCAAATTAGACAAATCAAGAGAGAGAGAAAAAAGAAAAAACAGTTTTGAAACTTGCCTTGATTATGAGCAGTTTAAAGGTGCTTTTTTTTTTGTTTTGTTTTGTTTTTTCATGTATCTCTATAGCAATAAAACCAACCAAAAATTGTGTTATTTACAAATGTACACAAAATTTCCTACAAAAAAAGTTTGTATAAGATGTTGGGGTAAAATTAACTCTTTGAAAGTTCTAGCCTCGAAAAGTGTTTGTTTATTTACGGCACGTCCATATCTTAAATATCTCCCTTATAAAACTGATATGATAGGTTCAATGCATGGAAGTAATTTCATTTTCATTCAACCTTTATCAACAATGTATTTTTGTATATTTCGTGCAAAAACATGAATATTTTACCTCTAATCAAATAGTATTTTGCATTTTC